CAATTCACATGCCACATCCACAAGTCAGTGCACCAAACTCAAGGTTGGACATCCTAACTGCGTATTCCCTGGTGAATTTATACACCATGTGTAATGTGTAGATATCACAAGGTATCAAGCAGCAAATCTAGCTAATAGAGTAATCAGACTGTGGCCTGTACAAGTCCAAAATCTAAACTTTATTCACAACGATGACACTCCAAATAGACAACGGAATGCAGTCATGTGATCTATACGTGATATGTTCATCATTTCGTTGTTCATGTATATAATAATGTTTCACCTTTTTCATCCCTCAGTCGATATGTCACTGCCTTTTTAAAACAAATAACATCCAAAATCACCGGACAAGCCAATGGAACAAACCTTGAAAATTCGTTTTTACAGTTAAATGTCTGTAAAAAAATATCTTTTCATACATTTTTCTATCTTAACAGTTTTCATTTCATTATCTTGAAACTATTAAATGTGCTTCAGTGTTTTTGAAAAATCATAAAAGTTTCTTTATGGCTACAATTTCTTATTTACTGTATTATTTATGTTTTTACAGTTAAACATTCTTATTATTTGATTTACTGTTCCAAATGGTTTCTTTTTGACAACTGATTAAACCCTTAAAGCGATATATGTTTGTCATGTTTTCCCCAAATTTTCAGAGCCATGCTTCTCAGCGTGCAGGGACAGTCGGAACCATAGTTCCTAGATCATCCTTACTTTGTATGACTTTTCTTTGTACCATACTTTTAAAATTGTATTTGATATTCCCTTTCATTTTCAAAAATAATATTCCTTTGAAATACTTCATGATGCTTTTACGTGTCTTTTTTTATCTTTCCTTGCTTCTTTGATTCTTACATTTCTTTGATTTGATTCTTCAAGCACAAGTCTTAATTATTTCTAATAATAAATTAGACCACCCTTTGTATTTAATTCTGAAATTTCATGTGATTTTCACATTAATGCTTTGCCATATTTTTACTTTTAGAAAAATGTTTACAGCCCCTTTCTACACTTGGAATAATTTCCATACTTTGTGCCATCGAATCATTCAAGGTGGCCTTCAAGTAGCTAACACACTAATGATTGCTAGTGATTATTAATCAAAACGGGAGAGACAAGTCACTGGTTATCTTCACACATTTGTAAATTAGAAGGAAATCCTAGTAATATTTACAGAGTGGATAATTATAATATTCCAGCCATTGTCTTTACCTTGAGATTTGTAATTATGGCATTGTAGATTTCTCCTGTTATCCTACAATACTTGGCCGTAAAAAAGTTCAAATGATAAAAAAATTCTTTCATTAATTAGAAATTTATATATAGAAACATTACTTTGAAGATTTAGTCCAACCTTACATGGCAACCTGAGATTGCATCCCAGATTACTCAGCTTGAGTTACTGAGCGCCAAGGAGTGATAGTTCATGGATATTCAGACTTGCTTCTGGGATGTGGAGATGGAGGCTGGTCTGTCTCAAGTGTCTGTTACGTTTCCTTTTGGAATCCTGCTGAACTGACAATGACACACTTAAAAAAGGACACTTACCAAGGCCATTAATAACTGCCCATTATTTCATGGATAATGTAAGAGGTTGCTCTGTCCGCTGCGATACTACCTGGGGAAGAGGAGGAATCTGGAATTTGGAAAGGAATGATAAACCTGTGCTCCAATGAAAATCACAGGGTTGTAATGAATGAAAATCACAAGGTTGTGACAATGCCATGTCCTGGAATTTGAAAAGGATTCAGTCTTAAAATTTCAAAGTTATATTATTAGTAAAATGCTGTTACATAAAAGAAGTCTTTGGAGGTGGGTGAAGCTCTGGTATTAGGGGGAAGGAATTTTAAGGCCAGAGATACCAAGATCTATGCATTTTATGCAATATGGATAGCATTACGTGCTATTGAATACATGGTGTTCAATAAATCATGTGTTGTTTCCTGGCATAAAGAATGATCATGCACGTTGCAGTCCCTCTTAAATTGACCACTTTTGATTCAGGTTTCTCTCGTTATCTTGTATAAGATGCATAGATAACCATCAGAATCAGACTGGCGAATGGAGCATACAGGGCACTAGGTGAAACTGGATATCTCTGAAGTGTACCATCTTTATGATTCCAACCCCTGGCTATGCTGATGGAAACCAGGGAATTATTATCACAATGTCATCTGATGGGATTAGATTTGTCATTAGGTCAGTGTGTCCCTGAGGGAGTCCAAGCTGACTAGGGAAAATTCCAAGTGATCTTAAGGCTGGTATCTTGGGGCAGGATGAGGCGATAGAAGGGAAGGGTAAAGGAGTTGGTTCTCCTACCTTACCTGCAGGGTAAATTGGAGCCTGATTTTCAAGTGCCCCAGCCTCGTCTGCATTTAACACCAATTTCCTTATCCTTTGATGAGCCTGACTGATTAGGTCTATGGATGAGATGGTGTGATGCCATGAAATCAAAGGAGGAAAAAGCCAAACCAACCTTCAGGGCCTATGTACATGTACATACAAAGATATATTGCTTCAGTAGAAATGAGAGTTGCAGACCTCAGGATTTGTAAGCACAGAATATCATGTCTTAATTACCTTTTCTGATAAAATTTGTAGGTTACTTTTGTGTTTTTAAAGCATTTTCAAGGGGCAAAACCTGCGTCTAGTCATAGACGCATGTAGAGTTATTAGCCTAGATCTTGATCAGTTATTGTTGGGAGGGGAAGACTTCAACTAAAAGTCCCAGGGTTTTTGTCTGAGAATTGAGTATCTTTGCAGCAAACATGATTAGCCAAGATAATAATTTAGTTTGTACTGTAGACTTCTGCAGCCAAACTTCTTTTTATAGGTACACTGTACGTACATAAATACAGTGTGGAATACTGTAAGTCTAAACATGCAGTGTTTGCATCATTTAAAGCCATTCATAAAGCAGTACTCTGTAGTTATTGCCCTAACAAGGTTTGTTTTAGTGTTTCCAATTCAAAATCTTTTACTGAAGCTTACAACCAGCCAACAGACAAACAAGCAGTCAGCAATTTTCAGTTTTCAAGAATGATCATCATACACAATCTCTATAATAAAATGCAATAGCATGGCATCAGTATTCTTGGCCTCTTCTGAAAAAGAAATGTAAAGAATCCAGATCTTTCTGCAGTAAAAGACGTTGACATTCATTGGAATTAAGTGTATCAGTTCGAAATCTTGTTTGCAAAGTAGAAACGGTGTGGACACTTTCCTTGCTGCTTCATACTCCAAGTAGGTTTTATCAAGGTACTTGTCAAGATGATGGATGTGGTCCGTATTTACACAGAATGATAAACCGGCTGGTTTGGCAGGCTGAGAAAATGTCAGTAGAATGCATACAGTGCTTCCTATAGGGACACATCTCTAATAAGAGTGAACGATTTCCCATACGGCATATCACTGGGAATAATTTCCTCCTATGCTGTGGATCAAGTGAGCTGCTATTAGTTGAATTGGTGGAGATATCAAACGGAAGAATGTATTGATGTTTGCAAGATGGGATTTAAAATGATACTGGTAATTCAAATGAACTGAATAAAAAACACTCCAAGGTATACATAGGTGTTTGCTACCCAGGAATAGCAAAAATCAAAGTAGATGAAAAGTTGAAAATTACAAACAACTTCAGTAATTAAAATCAAGTACATTTCCTCCATTGCTCTCTTCTTTCAAGTTTCACTATTTTCCTGCTTTTGATTTAGATTTCAATTTAGATTTTGTTAATTCATTTTTTTCCTGTTATGCTTTTGTTCCTTGGGGTTCATTTTGAAAATTCTAATGTGGTAATTATTTTCACATAATTCATGAAGGGATGCAAAGTTGTTTAGATTTTAGAGGGGATTTAAGATGAAATGTGAGTTAAACAATGAGGGGTGGGGCCTGGGTGGTGCCGATTAGGGTTTGATAGCTCTACATGTTGGTGGGACCTGAGCTCATTGGTGTTGAGTGTAAGTATGGTAGAATGAGCCCTTAGTAGATTAGGGTGGGGCCTGGGTGGTGTCGATAAGGGTTTGATAGTTCTACACGTTGGTGGGACCTGAGTTAATTGGTGTTGAGCTCAAGTGTTGTAGAATGAGCCCAAAGTGGTTTAGGGTGGGGCTGGAGTGGTTTAGGGTGGATCCAGAATGATTTAGGGCAGAGCTGAAGTGGAAAGAGTGGAGCTGGAATGGATTGGCATTGGGGCCAAAGGGCACAAAGGTGGGGCCTAGGGACATAAGGGGGCCCTGAAGGCTTAAATTCAAGTGCATTATGGGGAGGTCTTGGATCTGAGAAGAGTAGGGTGAGGCATTCGTGGAGTAGGCTGGGTTCTTGGTGTGATGGGATGGAGTTTAAGTGCAGAAGGGTGGGGCTTACTGTGCAGTGGTCAAGCTTGAGTGAGGTTAGGTCTGAGTGGGGAGAAGATTTTTATTTTTATTTGTTTCTTCAACTGCATTATTGTGCACAACTTCACAAATTTTCAAATGTTCTCATATTCAGTTTTACTAGAATTCAATCTCTGATTTGCACAACTTAAATAAATATAGTCTGGTTTTAGTTCTTTTTAAATTTAAGACCTTTGTGGAATTCCCACACTACACTTTTACAGCCCAAACAATCCTCAATCCATCACCTGTTGGAGAATTTAGGATTGTTGGTGATTTTAGGAATTACATCTGAAACAAAACATGTCAACCGTGTGACTTCAATTTTGCATCACCCTTTTCTTCGGAAGAGATTTATCTGTTTCAGCAAAAATGTGCTCATGTGCTCCAAGAGAAGATCATTAATTTTTGCTCTTATGTGTGCGACATGTGTCCCCTGATTGATTGCTGTAGGATACAATAGGATTATTATTTTGTTACAAATTACTTAGTTTTACAGGAAAGACAGATTTCCTTTAGCCGTGTTCCACTGTTTTTTTCAGAAATGGGAGGAATATTTTTATATCGAATTTTCTTGTTTCCATCACTCTGATGATTAGTTTTTGCTTGTTATTAATTTCTTTACAGAGACACACGCGTTGTGAGAGATCCCACAAAAGAAAACCGATCAAAGGGATATGGGTTTGTCTCCTTTGAAAAGGAAGAAGTAAGTTTATAATGATTGGGATTATATGTGAAAATGAGAAGAACTGATACATTGCCTTTGCTTATTCAACGGAACTCAGATTAGTTCCATTGTGCATGTATGGTTATTTCTGATCAGCTCAGTTAGAATCTTTCCTTTAGCGTCTTTTGTCAACTTGTATGTGATTTTTGAATATTGATTCCTCCTCTTTGTTGTGCAATTTCCTAACATGGTCTGTTTTAGTATTCCATATGACTGATTGTTTCATTGATTTATACATGTACATAGGTGAATCTGAGTTAAGATTTAGAATTTCACTCCTGCATACATATATTTCATTCCATTTTACATTGAAACGTGTTGCTACTTAATACATGTACTTTATTTAAAGCCTACTTATTTGTAACAGTGTTTTCCATTGATCTTGCATGCATTATGAGATGGCAATTTTGTTCTTTTTTCTAGAAAACTTTGCAGCAGGTGCTTCCTTTTTTCACTCATACTCTTATAATCCAGAGTCTTGAGCTATGTATCAATAAGTATTTTCAGAGATTTGACAGTACTATACTCCACCTGTTTCTGTATTCCTTACCTAACAGGCGACTTGTATCAATATTTTATGAGCAGTTAATATTAAAGCCTTCCTCTGCTAGATGTCTTTTTCCCCTCCTGTTTTAATTGACTGGGTATGAAGACATGACAAGCAGGTCCTAGTTAATATTCAGGTGTAACTTACCAGACCATGAATTAAAAATGCATGTTAGGAATATTAGCACATCCGTATGGACTTGACGAAAAAGACCGACATTCAGAAGGGCCAATATTTGAATGCTGTAGGTGTTGCGGTTCGTGACACATACAGTAGATTTGGTGGAATAGAAATGCTTTCTAGTTTGAAATTTTGTTGACAATTTTAACTTCTTGTGCAAACCTTGATGTTAATTTGTGAATTAATCAGATGTTGGATACCTTTGCCTTTTCTTTCACCAGGAAGCCAAAAATGCCATCAAAGCAATGAATGGTAAATTTCTTGGTGGCAAAATCATCCGTACAAACTGGGCAGTACGTAAACCTTCAGAGCAGAAAATAGAGAGTAAGTTTCATAGTTTGTTTAAATTTTTAGACAAATGATTCTGTTGTTATTGTGCTGATAGCAAAGTTTGGAAGAGTTAAACATTAGATTCAGCCTTGTGCAAGTGAATAGATTAAAAATACTGTGACATAATTCAAGTATAGGATGATTGCTGAAATAATACCAAGCTTCTTTTTATGTAAAAAAGAAAAATTTTGAGATTGGAGATTATTTCACTTCCAAATATTCCATCCAATATGTACATGTATGTTACATTGGCCAGATAAATGCATGCATTCAGACTTACAGTTAAAATGATTTGAATAAGGAGTTAGTTAGGCAGTTGAAAATTAATCAGTCAGTTTCTGTTTTCACAGCAAAGTCACATGAGGAGGTGTATAATCAGGCAAGTGTCAACAATTGTACAGTATACTGCGGTGGTATTCAAAATGGGATGTCAGGTATGTTGTTATAACATTATTTTTATAGGAATTACATGTATATGTAAGTAATGTACTAAAATGTACAAACAGGAAAAATTGTGCACCTGTAGAAACATTACATTACATGTGTGTACCTACCATGTGAGTTCAACCCTTCCACTTAGTTTGTGTGCATGTGCTAAAATTCGGTAAAGTCGTGGTCACTTTCTGTTGCTTTTGAAAATGGTGACGCCAGCCAGCAAATGACTATACCAAAATCCATCTGCAGAGATCTTCCGCATTGTGTAATGTTTGCCGAATTTATTCCAGAGAAATATAATCAGGCTTCAGATTTCATTTTGTGACGTGTTTCTTGTTAATCATAAGTGACATTTCGGAGAAAATAGGGTTAAAGATGTCTGCTCATGTATTTCTGAACATAAAAAAGGGTATTATTAAATTGAAATTTTGTTGTCCGGTTTTTCCGCACATGCTGCAAATCTTGGTAATTGAAAGAGTGTTTTAAAAAGGATCCCATGTTATGTTTAAGCTATTGCGAATTGTCCTTAGTTTTATCAGTTTCAACTCTGGCTCTGTGTTTAATGATGGTCGACCATGATTTATGTGTACACACGTACATGTACTCCATCAACGCACGTATTCATGCACTACTTTGGACAAATGATTCTCGTGCAAAATATTAAATTTGCAATAACGTGAAAACACTATCGATTTTTTATCGGGCCTTACTACACACCACACTTTTTTTGTTTGTTTGGATAAACTGGAGAAGTGGTTATAAAATGGGACAGACCATGGATGTATTTTCTTTCAAATCTGATCATTTTTAATCACTTTTTCAGTATTTGTTTCACATTTTTTGCAACTGGGTTCATAGAATACGGTGACATAAGTTGTCTAATAAATTTTTAGTTAAAATCAGGTTATCTCTATGAACATTAGTTGTTTGTCAGTATTTTGTTAAAAATAAATTATGGTCTCTATCTGCGGAAAGAAGTTTCGGAACGGTGTCCCATGTCGCCTGCTCAAAATCCACAGTAAAGTGATCGAGTGTGCATGTGCTAACTCCCAGTTAAGTGGTGCACAAAGGTGTGGGAGTGAATTTACGTGCCACATAAACATCGTTGTTTACTTGATGTGCAGTTGATTTCATTTGATCTGGTGACATAAATTACAATGTGTTTAGTATGCTCTTAAATATTCACTGCTTTTAGTCATGGAAATGTAGAAGTATTGCACCTAAGACCAGCCAGGAATTTTTTAGGACAGTAATTTTAAGATTGTTTACTAGAAGACACTGACTCTTTGTATGATCAGACCTGCTGGCTTTTAGAGGTGGAAATCTTTTCTAGTTTCCATCTGCAATTTCATTTCTGAGACCCTGATCAAAGTAATCCAATAAAACTGCACTCGGAAACCAAGAATAGCTTGCGGACTTGATCTGCATTGTTAATTCAAAACCCATTAATTTCACTGGATTTTCCCCCGTTTTCTGAGCTGACACAGTGAACTTATGAACTCTTACCTTGTCTGGTTTGCATTTTAAACAGAAGAATTACTACGCCAAAGGTTTCAGGAGTTTGGTACCATACAGGAGATTAGGCAATTTCCAGAAAAAGGTTATGCATTCATTCGGTAAGCAGACCTACTATAAGAATGTTATAGAAGTAAGCCTTGACTGGATATAGTAAGCTAATAATATTGACTAGCTGTAATCTTCATGGTGAAGGGTGCTGTAAGAAGTTGGCATTCACTCTCATTTACTGGGATTGATTATCAGCCTGAAGTATTAAGTGCATGGCAGCAGTTGATAGATTTTAATGATCAGACTGTGAAATGAACCACAAGCTTAATAACTGCAAAGTTCATGTGCTAGTGCAGGTCACCTGAAATCAAGTCGTAGTTGTGAATTTATAAAGAAACATGAAACGTTGTCACTTCAAGCATTTTTGGTAATGAAAGTTATTGCATTGAAAAACATTTTAGTGCTTCTTTTTCTTCGGTTTTTTTTATAATGTTTTGGCAAATGCTGTGAAGTTTATTCCTCAATGTTACATTTTTATTTAGAGTTCCTGATTACAACTTGAGATAAATTTCCTAATTTTTTGTTTCAGATTTGCATCTCATGATGAAGCCACTGCAGCCATTGTTGGTGTGCATAGTCAGCTTGTTGGCAACTACAAAGTCAAATGTTCGTGGGGGAAAGAAACGCCATCAGAGCCATCAGCTCATGTTCAGGTATGACATGGGCAAGGGGACAAAACTTGTACTATGAAAAGAATGGTTTGTGCATGTGAGTTAAGACTGATAATAAGTACATGTTTATAATATGTGAGCACGGTGTGTTTGAATGTGGATCAAAACTGTGTTCTATCTGGCGGTACATGTATGTATATATCAACTTGTAGACTTGTGACTTTTCTTCTGTGTATAAGGTTTCTTTTTTAAAATTTCTGGTTAAATGCAATTGAAACTTCAGATACAAAATACAAGCCTTTAGAAGTTGATTTTTCCAGCCTTTGGCTGGCTAGTCAGTAGCATACATGTATTTGGTACTGTTACATTTACGTCTGTTTTGAAATCCCAGCATAACATCTGATGGTTTTAAGAACAAATAGTTATCATTGCTTTCCACTTGGAGGTTTGCTTGAGTGACATCTGAAGAATTGAGAATTGAGTTGTTTATGTCCAGTATGGTCTTACATCCACTTGAATTCATTGCCCATCAACTCTTGGTGGTTGATCGTCGTAAGCCATCCCCTAGTCTGCTCCCTTCAACAACCCCCCACCCCCGTCAACGGTGCTACACACGTGAAGCGTCAGGTTATTCCGTTGGCACATTGTAGGCTTGGCAAGGCAATTTGATTGGAAGGTGTGAAAGACTGTTGCGAGCTGTACAGTTCCCCCTAGGGTCAGTGCTTCAGTGAAGCATCTATACCTCGGCAATTTCTAGAGCCATGGATATGGTCTACAATATAGTACAAGCAGCAGAGTAATGTTAGTTTGGCAGACTGGCCATTAGCTAATACGTGAGCCACAGATTCCATTTTTACATTCTTGTTATCTTCATGTCTTAAGCAGTTTTATGAGACCTATTAGTTTTCTGAGCGTTCACTTTCAATGCCAACTGAAATATTTTGGTCATCCAGTTCACTATTTCCTTAGAGCAATTGCAGAGCAACTTCTTTCCTGCAGTGTACATCTGGATCCTTTGTGCTCATCAGTTTTTAGAACACCCTCATCGATGAATACTACACAGAAAATAGAAAATCATCCTGGAATCAGTTTCAAATACCCTTATGGCCCTTGGCCTTTTTTCTCTTGCCAAATATAAAGGTCTTTAACCACTTTGTGTGGGGGTTCCTGGTACCGGGTATCTTGGGTTTGTACGCATAGCCGGGTGCGCGAAGTTGGACAAAAGAGCTGGGCCTTGTAACAAAAACCATACTCGGAACAAAAGGCTGAACTGCTGGGAATTGCCATCATTTTGCAGCTGGCATTAGCGGAGGTAATCTGTCATTGTTTTAAATCAGTATACCACTGTTTGCGGTGATGTAATACCGCTGCACGCTAAGCTGGCTGCATTTAAAAGACACCACTGGCATTCAGCAAGGCGCTGGGCAATTTCGGGAACAAAGGAAATTATGCAACACTACACTATCTGGGCCCTCTTTAATGGGCGGCATGCCCAGTTACAATACTCAGGCATCAATGGAAGTTGCCTGTCAGATTAGAGTAGCCACCAGACAGTCATTTTTGTGGGTGTGAGCGTCCAGTAAATGAAGTTCTGGATATTTGAAGAATTTTGAAAATGGAAAATCTTGAAAATTGCCCGGGAACTCATCCCGCATATGCAAATTCCACCCAGCAGCAAGTGGTTAAAGCTCTCTTTCAGCACAACACCTATTTGTCCATTCATTTGTTGACAATATGCATGCTCAGCCAGGCTGACCCAGCCAGCCATTGGTTGATAACGAAGGCTACTTGCCGTGGTATCTGAGCCAGGAATATCACGCCTGGACAGATCACTTTTTCTCTCACCCGTGTGGAGTCAACCAAGAAATTTGTGATTGACATGAGTAAACGGAGGAAAGAGAGGAAGTAATCATGAAAAGTGCAGTGTTCTGACGTGAAGTACCAGAAGAAATGACAAGATTCAAAGGATGTGCTTGGACACACATAATTTAGTTTGTTTGTCACAATGTTTTTTCCTGCTTGAGTCCTCTGCATTCATTAATAAACAATTTAACTTCTCATACTGTTATATTTGCATGACTTTCTCAATAAGATTCTCTTGTTGGTGCACTTAAACCGCTTTTAATTTGAAACCTTAAACTTTAAATTCTTACTATTTATAATCCCAGTGTCATTGTGTTCAATTTGCATTTCAAACCTAATTTTGATATTTGTACTTTTCTTTTTGGACTTCACATTTATTTTGTCAAGCTACTTGTCATTTATTTGACATTCATATATTTTATTCCATTAATTTCAGTTTGTATTTCTTGACTTTACATTTTGAATTTAGCATTGGTTCAATTAATTTTATCACCACTATATAGTGGAACCAAAATTAAGCTCATTTTTGTAAAAACTCATTTAAATTCAAGACCTGTTTACTTCACATAATTAAAACAAAGGATTTTAAACACTTCAATTTTAATTGCCACGGTAGTATGATTTTTTTCAAATTGTTTTCACGTTTGCTCTGTATAGAATGAATTTTATTCATGCTCACACCTGCTTAATAGTGTAATCTGAACAACCTTTCCCCTTCTTTTAAATCACATATGAAATTTTTTTACCATTTATTTGAAGGAATTGGGTCAAATGACTTTTATCTTCTATATCCTATTTTACTCTTTGATTCCATATCTTTTTGACTACTTACATCGCCCATTCCTGAATGAGATATCCTTTTACCTGTTTTCATAAGCCCCTCTTGATGGTGTTAGGGCCCCCTTCAAGCTCTGTCATTGGCCATTACGTGTTCTGACAGCTGACGACCCTAGTAGGGTGTTAGAGCAAATACAAGAGACGTGTTTCTGTGCCCCACCAAGCAACGCGTGCACCTGCGTCACATAACACATGTGTGGAGACTTGGTGTCTTCAGCATATGATGAAGAGGATTGTCTTGGGATTTTCCCACAGATAATACTGTTAATCTATCCAGAGTTGTTGTCTTCAACTCCTCCTTTTATGTCCTGGCTAATTTGTTGAATATCATTCTTTAGGTAGATTTTATTTGAAGAGTGGCTTTGAATTATTTATTTGTTTCATTTAAAGTGTTTGTTTTATTCAGCGTGGACAAACAATCCCGACCACTTACCCTTTATGGTGAAGACGTCTTGTATTCTGCAGATTTGATTTTTTAACATTTTATATTTATTTTCTACAATAGAAATTATACTAGAAATAGATATAATTTAAACTCTGTTTCCTTGGAATATGAATTGCCGGAGTGTTTTCCATAACATTTCTGAATGAAAGATATTTATTAACTTGTTTTGATGAAATTTCTGATATCAAGGAAATAGCTTGTCTTTTTTTGTTCAAAACAAGATTAATCACCGAAATTAGAAGGAAGCTAATCTATAAAGGATGTGAAAGCTGTCAAGTGTAGTGACATGGCAGTGGTACATGATTGGTTGCAGTTTCATTGTATTTCCCATCAGAACTTTCATTGTGAATTTCCTGTGGATAAATTTTAATCTGCCCTGAAGTCACATTCAGTGAATGCAGCTTTAACCAGTCATCTGGCCTGTTTACCAGCATTATAAGCATCTCTTTTTGCCAGTTGTAGGATGTTTAAATTACATTTATTTGCAGAAAGTCCAACTGTAGGAATTGCGATAGTTACAGTTGGTGATGTTAAAATCTGTTGGATTTCTCCCAGCAGTAGTTATTTCTTAAGTAAAATCATACTTCCATGTCATTTCCATTCATTGTTTTCTCAAAGTGAACTAACTGTCATTAAATTGTTGGTTCTCATTGATTTCATTTGACACAGCAGCAACAGCAGTATGCATATCAAGGCTTTGCTACCTACCCGCAGCAAGCTGTACAGCAAACACAGCAACCTAGCCAACCATACGTTCACTATTTCAACCAGCAGTTTCCTGCTGGACAACAACAGCAATATCTGCAGATGACGCCCTCAACACAGGCCACATACTACTATAACTATCCACAGTAAGTGCCAAAACTGTTGGAATTTCTGAGAATTGTTGGGAAACTCAGAACTGAAAACTTTGTTATTTACAAATCTTAAGCTCCTTAGAATTCACAGTGTCATGTGCCATTAAATTTTTCCAAACCTTTTTGAGACTTTGAGAATTTTTATCATGCACTATGGGCACTTGAGGATACTTGACAAGATCACACACACCTGGGCATGAAAATAACAAATGATTTGTTAATCTGTGTTAGAGTGGTTGATTTGACATCATGGAATTTGGGAAATGATCTTTGCTTAGTAAGATTCGTTGTAAAAGTTTTCTTCTTGGACAAATCTTACACATACTCTAAAATTAAGTAAAAAGAATTGACAAGCTGCAGTGAGGGTTTGTGTTTTTGATAGTATAACCCTGCGTGTGGCTGTAGGGCTTGTCTTTGGCTGTGACTGACTTGACTCATTTCTTGTTCTTGCTACAGAGCGTCAGGTATGGTTATGCAAGGGCAGTATGTACAGAGCCAGTACCCCCAAGGACAAACTGTTCAACAGACTCAGTATGCTCAACAGACCCAACCCATTTCAGCTCTTGGACAAGGCATGGCTCCAAGCAGAGGGCTCATGACGCCTAACTCATCCCAAGGAAATTATATGCATACTGGCTTCCCAACTCAATAAACAGATATCTCCCTCCCTGAACACCCCTAGGGTGGAGGGCAGGATTCCCCCACCCCATCACCTATTGCACTCAAGGATTAGACTCAGAACTTTGATATTGAGGAACTGGTTGGTGTCATTGTTTGTGTCAGAATTGGAAGATATGCATCATAATATTTTCATTGATATGGAATGCCTTATGTTGGGTTGAATGATCTGCTGTGTTTTAAAAATAGACACTTTTCATTTACCTCAATCTTACATTGAGTGCATTTGATCATGTGATTTACATTACATAATGTGCTTGTCAGATGGTAAAATAAAAAGCTCCATTAGTGAGACTGTAACATCAGAGGACAAGTCATCTTATATCCTGACATGTCTAATGTATAATCACATGATTTGTCAGGTGGTTAGATGAGAATGCAGACAGCTGTGCTTGAATTTGGCCAGTTATGATTGGTCAAGTTGATCTAAATATGTCAAATGATTGGATTGTAAAATTCAGCTAATACTGAAACAAAGAAAAATTGGCTGAAAATTGCCAAATTGTGTAGAAATAAAGTAAAGAGAGAGAGAGAGAGTGTGGTGAATATTGTATAAAAGAAATAACGTAAAGGATTAAACAAATAGTAGAGTAAATAAATCAATGTGGGTGGTGGGTAAAATGAACCTGTAGTGTGGGGGTCATCCTCACATTCTCATATATACAGTATGTGTAAAAACTGTTTGAAATAAAAAGGGTTATTTGTCAATTTTTGGATATCGACTGATGTTACTAGCTTGCCTGGGTTGAAGACATCTCTTAACAGCAAGCAACATAGGGAGAGACATGCAGACGCTCTGTGTACTGTACTTTAGTTATGTTTCTGGACATTCCACACACTTGTACTTTTGATACCTTGTCCTACAATATTTGTGTTATGACCAGTTAGCTACAGTACCATCTCTTACTGACATGGTATTTGAGAACTTTTGCAGACATATAGACTTATTGCTGCAGTGTATAGTGTTGATTTTTCTGTTGCAAAAAGTATGTCTATACTGACGGATGGAAATTGTAGAAAATCATTGATCATAATTTGGTTTGCATTGTGCTTCTTCCAATGCAAAGCCAATTACTTCCACTGAATACTTGTGGAACCTGCTGCTGCTCTGGATTCAAGCCAACCCCCCACTTCTTCCAAACTAGGCTGAGTCTGTACTAGTAAGGAGGAGGTTGTAAGTTTGAATCCCATCTGAGCAAGCTTGTGAATTTTTATGGAACTCCCAGACCACACAGAAAATATAGTGTGAATACAAGTCGCAGTAACGGCGATTCCTAGTGTTGAAAACCTTTTGTTGAGACTGAGGGAAGTACAGTATCCGGAGTAGGGAGATTTTTTTCAAGTTGTTTGTGCTGTCTGAAACCCTGTTGTTTACAAAGACAACAATTATATACCCTGGCATTGTAACAAGAAAAATGTCATAAGTCACATTTTAGTCAAGGAATTAGCTGCTGTGTTGGATATTTAGACTGTGGGAAATGAAAACATGCTTTTGATGATTACATTGCATGTACTCTTTACTTGTATGTAGCATGTGTGTCTATGTTCTTTGTAATTTGTTGCTGTGGAATATTTGTAAGATGTTTGTTACTGGAAGTTCCTGCCCTTTGTGAAAAAGCATGACTTATATACAGCCTGGTTTTATAACACTTGGTTTCTGAAAAATCTTTTATATTTTGGAATGGCTACCATTAGGTTTGGAAAAAACCTCAGAAAATAAACAGTTGAACTTGTGGATTGTTTCCTTGCCAGAATACAGGACGATCACAAGTTACTCAGGGTAAGAACTACAACGTTCAGTGCCTTTTTGTTTTTTTCTCTCATCCATATTGAATAATACTTCACAGTATGGATTTTAAAGTCTGATGCTGCAAAGCTTTTATTAAAGCAAGTACCCTCCATGCCTAGCGTGTTAACTAGTTTATTAGTCATACCTGTGTGCATTGTTTTGTCTCCTGTTTGGCCCTGTGTGTCCTGTTCTCATAGCAACCTTAATTGTGGGATGGGTTGGTTTTTGAGGGAATATTTGTACTGAATGTGGCAGATTGCACTGTGAAAGAACAGGGCTGGTGAAAGAATAGAAATAATTTTTTCCCACTCCCAAGATATTCTTGTTACAATGCCCACTGTAAATAACGTGAGTTACAAAGTCACATTTAGAAGTAGAAATAGCCTGTGTTCAGTTTAAAAACCTGCAAACTGTTAAATATAAACAGTATGAACAGACAACATTGGGTTCATTATGCTCTCTTTGCTGTGTATGTTGATACCCACAGCAAAGACAAATAACTTTAAGTTAATCATTTCTCAATTTCTGCCTTGCTTACCTACCAGCAATTCTCATACACAAAGTGAAGTGCTGCAATTTTGTGAAGTCTGTCTTTTACAACTATTCCACAAATGCCACCATCACCTTGTTTATTACTTCTTTTTGAAATCAGTTTCAATAATGCGGAAAAATGACATTGACTAAAATAATAAATTATGAGTTACAGGATTATGAGGAACAAACTCTTAAATATGGTCATTAATATTCATGAACTGAGTAACTAATTTTTGAAGTTGGTCATTAGAACTGATATGTTTAGTGTTTGTGACAGGAATGTTTTGTAACAGTTGGGACCATGTTTTTTTTCCCCCCATTTTAAGATGGTGTCGAAACTAAATTTGATGCCACATCACCACAGTATGCGCTGTGAATAGTTGTTGGCTGTAAAAAAGGGGGAAAAAGGCAAGAGAGAAGGATGATTTTTAGGATGGCATTTAAAATTCATCCTCAGTTCTTTGTACTGGTGCTGTTGGTTTGGCCTAATTTCATGGATTTCTTCACCTGTTTCTACATCTGAGAACTCGGGGAAAACAAGTTGGAAGTATAAACTTTGTTGTATCACGTGCACATTTTATAATTAATTTTATAATTAATTGCAACTTTGTGTGCTGGTATGTTAAGAGCTATTGCCTTAAGAAAAACATCACTCAGTATGACACAGCTGGAAAAATATGATCAATATGGTCTGATTTTTGACGATGGATTAGTAACGGAAACACTAAATTAAATATTGGCTCTTACCAACTTTCAGCAAATAATTCATTGGATTTTTTTTAATAAGGAGCAGAATGACATTTGGCAATTGTATATTTCCTTGCATGCCCACTTGGTCAGTATAGAGGGGTTTATCTATTGGCAAGGAGATGAAATAAACTAAGATGGAATGGCAAAGAATAGAAATTACTGTTGTGTTCTGATAAACGTATCCACAAATTATCCTAGGTAATGTTAACTCGGTGTAATTATCATATTGATGTGAAATGAGTTTGGTCATCTTGAGAATGGAAGTGCATTTTTTGTTGGGCCAGCCCTCCCACAGCAATCTGTGTTTGCTTATCATTAACTAAATGCATGAGTAGTTTTCGATTTTTCTATACAAGTTTTATACTGTGGAGACTTCTTATGCTCCTAGAAGCAGATTACTGTCTTTTAAGGATGGATGGAGTATTTTCTCATGTGAAACGAGTGATAGCTGTGACTTTGGGTGGGGGGATGGGACAGGGTGTATGTGGTTATATAGGATTTGATACATGGTTGCAAATTGTAAAACATTTGTTCAATGTCATTCATTATGAAGGATGTTGTGGTTGTGTGGGAGAGCTGGCCGGGAGTTTCAGAAGTTGGTAATCATCAGAACTGATCTGTCATGGAAAATGAACACAAGGACAGTGAATGTTTATTGTAATTATAAATTTTGCGTTATGTTAAAAGGCATCAATTTCAATCCCAGATTTTGTTGTAACAGCCAAGCTTACTGTTGCAGTCTTTTACGTGTTCAAAGTTGTGAACTTGTGTTGCATTGGCATGGCAACTTTGGCCTTGCATCAGAATAGCAACGTGTACTGTTGTGTAGCGCCCTCTAGCATTGAGTTATTGGTATAAAAAGTGAACAAGTTTTGGGTTTCATATACATATCTAATTAGCAATGTGATTGGTCCCGTTCTGTGGTTTTTAGTTAATGTATCTTGATTATCAACAATTGTACATATACTCAGTGTCCATTGTTACAAAAAATGTGTTGAAGTCCGTAAATTCCACTGTGCTGAGTCACAATGGAAGAAGTTCATAAGGCAAATGTATACATAATGTGAAATATTTTAAGGGTGGGTGTGTTTTGGAATGGTAGAAAGGGAGATTTTAGTTATAAACAAAAGTAGCAAGTAGATTTGTAGCAGTAAACATAAAACTGTCAGAAAGAAGTGTACAAAATATAATATTTGGGTTTAAACAAAATGAGTTAGACCAGAAATACAGTAACTAAAGAGTCCAAATAAAGCATTGTAAGATGGAAAAATGTTATTAGGACTTTGGTGATGATGTTTCAATAGTGTACAAAACCCTGAATCGAAATTGATTGGATTTTGGTTTCCAATATGGGGTGTAGTTAGCCATAGTAAGATACATGTGCACTGAATTAGGCTTAGCCAGCTAACGTCAGGGACAAAGTATAATATGAAGCAATTTCCCAAAACACTGGTTTTTGTAGAATGATGGGGTATAAAGCAAATAAAAAGGTATAATTTGTAAACAAAGGTACAAATTGTATTTTGTGTGGCTTTCTATCATGGTTGTACTGTTCTCCAATTCAGCATGGACAGATCCAAAAGCAAACTTCTGAGCATGGGGGCAGCATTTCTCTAATGATTGCTCCCTTGGTTTTTTGTGGGGATGGGGGAGGGAGGCATGGCACCCGTTCTCCATGTGCTCTGATTATCCACATGTATATTTATAATCACAAAAATATTTATCCCCAACAGTTGTGTTCATTCGCTTGTCCCCAACTGCCCTGAAATGACGCTTGGAAGGCCAAATACATTTCAAAAATGTTTGTGAAGGAAATAGTACACAGCCATGGCTGTGATTGTGTGAGCATCGTGAGTTAATATTCCATGCATGTACTTTCAATGTTGACCCGTGTTATTGTTCAAAAGCAAAAGCATTTGCCTATCCCAGTGGCCTGGTCAGCAAATCAAGCAGAGGAGTAGCCATGGGGGGGGGGCTTGGGGCACGTGCCCCTCACAAATTCCAGGTGCCCTTCCCCAGGTGCCCCCCACTGAAAAAAATGCATTAATGGATATTGAACAAGGCTAACAAAAACTTGCCCGAAAACCATACCACTGAAAGCTAGTGCCCCCATAAGATGCTGATGTGCCCCCCCCCAGTAAAATCCGAGCTACGCCTCTGAAAGTGAAGTCAAGGCAGTAGGTGACAAGCGAGTTCTGCTCATTTCTATGTCATTAACTTAAGCAACTGTTGTTGGATTGTGATGTGTAAATGCAATAATTTAGACTCGATTTAGAAGTAAAGGACTTAGTGGCTTTTTTGGATTCAAGCAAGTGTTTTCTTTTAATTGAAAGCGAGAATTATGTAGTTTCTGTTGAAGGAATACCGCGTCATGTGATTTCATCACATGATACGAAGCGTCGCGTGATCACGGATGCGCGTGCCTTTGCCTGTCTGGTGTCTAGGTTGTTTTTACGCAGGCCAATAGGTATCATTCTAATTATTGATGCACCCGATTTTTTTTATTACGGTACGAACGGACGGATACATGATATATAATAATAAGCGCAAGGGTATGCATGCACGACGAAGTCAACAATGTCGCCGTTAAGTGCAACGTTTTGTCACTTTTTACTAGCATTCCAGTTGCTTTATACCGGTAGATATTCCGAGGCCTCACAGTACACAATAAGTGATGCATCAGGGCTGGGCAGGCGGTTTGATGGTATTGGTGGACTTAGTGGAGGAGGAGTAAGTACTTAAAATTTGCTCAGACCGTCGTCGTGGCCTTGACGGGTACAGTCCATCATTTCAAGCCCCATTGAAACAGTGTAAAATCAGTACCGTTCAGGGCCCAATAGCATGCACGCCAACATCCCTGAGATTTCTGAAACACAAATGAAATTCTTGTCTGGTCACTGATCTTTCAATTTCTTTTCACCGCCCAAAAAGTGATTTTTCCAAAGTCTGATTGCAACCCTTTT